GGTTTTCTCCTATTGGGTTGTCTCACTTTATAATTAACTTCCCCAACCTGTTCAATAACCTCATATGGGCCATGCCAAGATGCTAGAAATTTATTTTCTACTGTAGGGACCAAAACAAGCACCCTGTCTCCTGGGTGAAAAACTCTCAGTCTGGCATTTTTATTATAACTGTTTTTCTGGGCCTCTTGGGCTTTCTGCATATGTTCTTTAACTATTGGCATGACAGCCGCCATCCTATCTTGCATTTGAGCTATGTGCTCAATTACACTACGGTACGGATTGGACTCCTGTTCCCAGGTTTCTTTTGCTATATCTAGCAGACCTCTGGGATGATGGGCATATAGAAGCTCAAAAGGAGAGAAGCCCGTAGAAGCTTGTGGCACCTCCCTTATGGAGAACATTAGATAGGGAAGTAAGCAGTCCCAATTCTTACCATCTTTGTCAATTACTTTCCGTAACATACTTTTTAAGGTCTTGTTAAACCGTTCTACCAGTCCGTCTGTCTGGGGATGGTAAACAGAGGTCCTAAGATGTTTAATTTGAAGTAGTTTGCATAACTCCTTTGTAACTTTAGACATAAATGGTGTACCCTGATCTGTCAAAATTTCTTTTGGTATGCCCACCCGGCTAAACATGAGCATGAGTTCTCTCGCTATTGTCTTTGCAGACGTGTTACGTAGGGGTACTGCTTCCGGGTACTTGGTAGCATAATCCAGGATCACCAATATATATTGATGCCCCCTTGCAGACTTTACCAGAGGACCTACCAAGTCCATTGCAATCCTTTCAAAAGGTATTTCTATTATAGGCAATGGTACCAGAGGACTGCGGTATGCCTTAAAAGGGGCAGTGTGTTGGCATTCAGGACAAGAAGAACAATAATTCGCAACTGAAGCAAATACCCCAGGCCAATAAAACCTCTGTAAGACTCTTTCTTTTGTTTTTTCTATGCCTAAATGTCCCCCCAGTATATGGCTGTGTGCAAGATTTAGGACTGTATGTCTGAAAGGCTTAGGAACAAGCAGTTGTTTTACAACATCCATCCCCTTTTTCTCTACTCTATATATCAAATCATTCTGTACCTCAAAGTAAGGAAAAGAAGGGTCTCTATCTAGTTGTACTGGATCATCAGTTGAAACCTGGATATTTTTACGGGCCTCTGCAAGAGTGGGGTCTTCCCATTGCGCTTTCCTGAAGTTAACAGGACTGACTTCTAATTCAGGGAAGTTAATGCCTTGATCCTGATCGTTATCGGACTCCTGACTATCGTGGCCCTGATCATCTCCTACTAAAGCTGGCCTGTGACTTGAGGCTTCAGCCTTCTCTGGTCTTATGCCTAGTCCTTCCCATTCTATGTCAGAAAAAGGGAACACATTTCCAGAATCATCATCATTTGCTATGCAATCATGAGCTACTTTTCCTGGAGACCCCCACAAGTCTAAAAATTGGGGGAAATCCCTTCCCAACACCACATCATGAGCCAATTTGTCCACTACCCCCACTCTATGATTCACAGTCCCAAAAAGGCTTTCAAATTTTAGCAAAACTGTAGGATATTCACGTTTGTCACCATGAACACAAATTATACCAATTTTCTGCAATGCATCAACATTGGCTTCAGGTACAAGGCATTTTGCTATCAATGTCGCCATACTTCCGGAGTCTAATAGAGCTCTAACCTCTTTCCCATTCACCCTTATGGAACATATCTGTGGATTGTGACAACAGTTGGCAACAGCAGATTCCATACAATTCAGCAAACAAGACAATTGTACATCCTGATTAATCATATTGCATTGCATAGGTTCATCAATCAAGGGACAGTCTCTAGCTTTATGTCCAGGTTCATTACACCGGAAGCATTTAATATCGTCAACTGTCCCCCACCTAGACCCTTTTCCAGGATTAACATTTCTAGGCAAAAGCATATGGGGTCTCTGAGAATATGTCTCTTGTTCCTCTGTGTCTCTGAAACCTTGAAAATTCTTACCAGGTCTTTCAGCATCTGGAGTCTTAACTCTCTGCTTAGCCTTTGTGTTGTTGAGCCACTGTCTGTCATCTGCAGCAACATATCTTTCCACCAAACCAATTAACTCATCAGCTGTTTGTGGATCGCTCTGACTGACCCATCGACGCAGTGAAGCAGGCAAGCCCCGCAGGAATCTGTCCATCACAAGAAGTTCCATGATATGGCTTGCCGTATTTATTTCTGGTTGTAACCACTTTCTAGCAAGATGTATCAGGTCAAACATCTGGGAGCGGATAGGTTTCTCTTGGTTGAAAGACCAGGCATGAAATCTTTGGGCACGAACTGCCCTAGTCACACCAAGTCGTGCAAGGATCTCAGCCTTCAGTTTGGAGTAGACCCCTGCCTGTGCTGGTTCCAGGTCATAGAAAGCCTTCTGGGGTTCTCCAATAAGAAAAGGTGCCAGTATGCTTGCCCACTCACTCACCGGCCACTCTTCTCTCTCAGCTGTCCTCTCAAAAGCTAGCAGGTATGCTTCCACATCATCTGTAGGTGTCATCTTCTGCAGGTAACGGCTGGCTCTGATCATTTTAACCTCGGACTGCGTCCCATCCGAGACTCTGGTCAGTCCCTTGGTCAAAGCCTGTATCTCCTTCTGTATCATACTGGTGGCCTGATGTTGGTCCTCTCTGAGCAGGCGGTTTGCCTCAGCTTGGGCTGCCATAACCTGCTGGATCAAAGCATCTGTGTTGGCCTTTTGCGCAATTACCAGTTGCTGTAGGGCTGTAATATTTTCCTGTTGTGCGGCTGTAGCCTCCTGCTGTACGGCTGTAGCCTTTTGCTGTGCAGCTGTAGTTTGCAACAAGACTTTCACAACTTCCTCCATATTTCTACAGGCTTGTTTGGCTTTCAGTTAACACCCACAGGCTTCTTTAGTGCAGTGCCCGCATTCTCCACCATATGTGACAAACTTACTTTCCTGTGTGTGTTTGTCCAGGATCTTTTGGCAACCGCACAGCCCTCTAGGGTAAGAAAACCAGGTCAAGACAAAGTCCAGTTTCAAAAAGGCCTCTGGCCTGTTTATTTTCTGTTGTTGTGAAGTAACAGGATACAATGAACAGCAAATCTTCTTTCTCCACAAAACACCTTCTTTCTCCTCCAAAACACTTCCCTCACTTCACCCTGCTTTAACTGCAGTTATATAGCTGCTCACAGCCCCTACAGGTGAGGCTAATGACCTCGTTAGGCAGTGAGCCAGAACTCTATGGGAAACCTGGGCTGGACTCATGCACAACCACTCTGACAGTGGGTGGAGAATCGGCCCACCCTGCTCTTCCGAATACTCCACCCCAGGGACCCAAATAACAACAGAGGAAAAAAAACTACATTTAAACTTAACTTTCCCTGGGGCTGCATGTGCTTACCCACATGTCAGGATAGTGGCTGTGCAAAAGTCTGGGTGCCAGATATACACCCCTGACCACCATCCCCAACACTCTGTTACAATATATATATATATACACACAAACACACACACTATGTGTGTGTGTATATATATATATATACACACACACACACACTGCCAACAGGAACAGGAAGTAAAGAACCAAAAGAAAGAAAGTGCATCATTCACAGCCAACAACTGCCCAATGCCCATACATCACAATACATACACTCATACACTCATACACAGCCCAACCGCCCATACATCACATCTCATTCCTTTCTCAACCAAAGAAAGAAAACAAAATAGTAAAAAGTCAACAATAAAATAACTATTTAAAAATGTGTCCTTAATCTGCATCATTCTGTCCATCATCTTCAAGATCTACAATCTTTTTTTCAGGACAGCTTATTCTACTCGTACTAGGATACCATTTCCTTCTCACCGTGGAGTTTCTCCGACTATAGTCCCTTAATGGATCTTCTGGTTGCCAGCGGTTTGTGGCCCTTCTCTCTCTTGTTGAATGGCCAGTATTTTCATGACCACAGCCTTCATGGTTACTTGAACTGTGGCTTGGCAGTTCTTGTTCCTGAATTTCATGGGGTATTTCCTCCAAATCATCCCCTATTACATCATGAGCCTCTGTACCAGGTGTATTGCAGACTTCAGAAATGTCATCATGCCAAACTCCATGCCAGATATCAGTGTCTGGTTGCATGAGTGGCCCTACCCACTTTGATAGGTTGTCTGTTATACGTGGTCAAAGTTGATTTGTATGTCTCTGTGTGCAACATCCATCAGAGGTTAAAACTTTATAGTGCGCCGGCCCCAGAACTTCCTTTATCACGGCTTCTTTCCAACGATTCTCTTGATGATACACACATCCAAACAGAATCCCCTGTCTGGTAACAACGGCCTGCTTTTCCGACTTGCATCTTCGATTGTTGCTGGATGACCCTTTGTTGAATCTCTGGTTTTAGCAGATCCAACTTTGTCCTGAGTTCACGGCCTAACATAAGGCAGTGGTTGGATCGAAATACACCTCATCCAACCACTGGACAACCTCCAGCATGGAGGTTGTCCAGTGGTTGGATAAGGTGTATTTCGATACTGTAGAAGGAACTCAGACAAATGATGTTCAGGTCTCTTTCCTTCTGCTTTCAGTCTTCTCAGAAAACCCTTTAACATTTGAACAAAACATTCTACTTGACCATTAGTAGCAGGATAATACGGTGCTGTACGATGATGCCGAGTACCGTTTTCCTTGAGAAAAGCCTGAAATTGTCCAGAAACAAACTGCGGTCCATTATCTGAAACAAGCACTCTGGGAAAGCCAAATGTTGCAAATAGTTTCTGTAATGCTTTAACAGTAGCTTCTGCAGTGGTCTGCGACATGAATAGAACTTCTGGCCATTTAGAATGTGCATTTACCACAATCAGATACATTTTATTTTCCACTGGTCCAGCAAAGTCTATGTGAATTCTCTGTCATGGTGATAGAGGCCAGGTCCAAGGTTGTACGGCACCATGTGGTAAGTCATGCTGTGCTTGTGCACAACCTGTGCAACCTGAAACATAACGGGCAATATCCTCATCAATGGTTGTCCACCATACATGACCTCTTGACTTCTGCTTCATGCGGACTATGCCAGGATGACTTGCATGTCAGATTTCAAGAATCTGCTGTTGTAACACAAAAGGAATAACCACCCTTTCTCCCCAGACTAAGCAGCCATCTTGAATTGATAACTCCTGAGCTCTTGTTTGGAATGACTTGAGATGTATTGGAGTCTTTAGTGGCCAACCCTTGCATACAAAAATAGGTATTTCCCTCAGCAAAGAGTCCTTGGTTGTCTCCTGTGTAATTTCTCTAGCTGTTATCACCTCACTAAAATATATTGTAGATCTTTCTGTGGTAGTTAATTGTGAATCCATTTTCAATGGAAGTCTAGAGAATACATCCGCATGCAGAGCGTTTGGACGATATTCTATCTGATACCGATAAGCCCCCAGAGTTAAGGCATACCTCTGAAGTCTTGCTGCTGTCATGATTGAAATACCTTTCTGTGGGTTAAAAATTGTCAATAAAGGTTTATGGTCCGTAAGCAGTGTGAAGGGTCGACTATATATATATATATATATATATATATATATATATATATATATATATATATATATATATATAAAGATGGAATTTCTTTACTGCCCATACTATTGCCAGAGCCTCTTTATCTATTTGAGAATAGTTTTTTTCTGCAGCTGTGAGCGATCTAGAGGCAAAAGCCACTGGCCTGTCTGTCCCATCAGCCATGGAATGAGACAGGACTGCTCCCAGTCCGTAAGGTGATGCATCACAAGCAATGGAAACAGGCTTTTCCAAGTCGTAGTGTACTAAAAGACGTGAACTACGAACTAGTTTTGACTTATGGAAAGCTGAAGCACATTCTACTGTCCAGCGCCATTGTCGTTTACTCTCTAGATGATGTAAATGGTACAGGACATGAGCTAAATTTGGCACAAAACGCTTGTAATAATTTAATGGACCAAGATAGGACCTTAGTTGTGTCACATTTTGTGGAGTTGGAGCATCCTGTAATGCCTCGACCTTCTCCTCTGTTGTATGCAGCCCATGTTTGTCAATTACATGAGCACAAAATTCAAGACAATTCTGCATGAATTGGCATTTATCCAAATTTACCTTCAATCCATATTCCATAAGTCTTTGCAAAACTGCCTCTACATTCTGTTTATGTTCATCCTCTGATTTACCCGTCACCAGCATGTCATCTAACAGGCACTGTGTCCCAGGAATTCCAGCTAACAGCTTGTCCATTGTTCGCTGCCAGACAGCTGGTGCAGGTGAAATGCCAAAAACCATACGGTTAAACCTGAATAGCCCCCGATGGGTATTAATCGTAATTTTTTTTTCTCACTGGAACAATGGGCAAAGCCCACTCACTATCGTGAACCTGGGAGATGATATTCAGCTCCTCTAATCTCCTGAATTCTGCCTCCACTCCAGCCCTTAGAGTAAAAGGCACACTTCTTGCTTTAAAAAATTTCAGTGTTGCTCTTTCCTTTAATTCTAAGGAAACTTGTTGTCCCTTTACAGTCCGTAATTGGCCATTAAACACTTGTGCATACCTTTCCTGTAATTCCCTAATCCAGTCAAGTCTGGTCTGATTTTCATTCAACACATGACATGGAAACTTATGCACTTGAGGCATCCCGAGAGCCCTTATCCACTCCCTACCAAAAGGTGGAGGTCCTCCATTCTCTAAGAGATAGAGAGGTAGTTTCTTCTTACACTTGTTGAATGTAACTGTCACACAACCCACTGGTATTAACAGCCTTTTAGAATATGTATGCAGTCTCGCTGCTGTTTGAATTATTGGCCTATGTATTTTAAGCCTTCCAGTCTGTCAAAGAAATCACTGATACAGCTGCACCTGTGTCCAAATCCATAGTAAGTTTCTTTCCATTTACAACAACCTGAACTGTGAATGCAGCCAGATTAGAATTTTATACATTTTTAAATTTCGGACAGGAAATTGTTCATCCGAATCCTCAGAAGACTCCTGCGTCTTCTGAGGCATTCTTGCTCTGTTTCTCAAGCGATTACTACCTCTATCTGCTGTGGATTTACACACTTTTTGTAGGTGGCCCATTTTACCACAAGCATGACACTTGGCATCCTTGAATCTGCATGTAGTTGCAACATGTGTAGCAGCTCCGCAGCGATAACATTTGTAATGTGAATGTTCTTGTGTTGAAAGTCTCTTTCCCTGTGGTACACTGTGCTCTAGCATCTAATTTTAAAACTTCTAACTCTGCCTCCTGTGTGTTGTCCAGTCTGCTGTGTAATAGATTAGCATCCTTAGAGGCTTGTTCCATAATGCTTGCCATGTTCATTGCCTTTTTAAATGTTAAATCTTCTTCTGTAAGTAGTCTCCTTAGCACTGCATCACTTGCAATGCCCATTACAAACTGGTCTTGCAGAGCAGTGGGCAGGTAGTCCCCAAAACAGCAGGTGCTGGCGAGTTTCCGTAATGCAATGGCATATGCTGAAACTGATTCACCAAGCTCTTATCTTCTTTTATAGAATTTAAATCTCTCTGCTATCTCTAGTGGTTTTGGTTGGAAATAGCTAGTTAACAGAGTAATCAGGCTTGCCAATGGATTGCTGGCAGGTTTCTCTGGGTGTAAAAGGCTCCTTAGCGTATCATACGTTCTGGCTCCTATAACTGTTAGAAAAACAGCGACCTGTTTATTGTCAGGAATGTCATTAGCTGTGAAATATTGTTCAAGCCTTCCAACCCAAGAGGCCCATAAAATATATGCACTTTAAGTTAAATATCATAACTTGGTAGTATTACCAGTGTTAATCACTATACTGTCACTTTAAATGACGCTCTTCTGGAATGAGTTTCCATGATTAAGCACTAAGGCAACTAAGAATTATAGCTCTATTTATTTATTCTTTAGCACATTGCACTTTGTATTTAAAAAACTACACATCCTCTTTTAACATCATTTATTAAAGCCTCAGAATGAGTATTATATCGCACACACTCATGCAATCACTCAATGCTGTTGTTCCCTCATCTCCATAGTGATGCTGCGTGTGCCGCGTTGCCATGGTAACGGACGTGATGACGGCACACCGCAACGTCATTTGGGCGCGAAGCTTCACTCCACATGCACACTGGGACCACTAGAATGCCGTTCTGAGATTCACTTCACCTGTGGGTAAGCTAATTTAGTTAATATATTTACCTATATAAGTCTGTATTGTTGGTTCTGTATTTGTATTGATCCTGAAGAAAGTCCCATACAGAGGGCTGAAACGTTGATCGTGATTTTAAAGATTATTCATTAAAGATTAGATTTCTTAACTCAGTGAGTGCTGCTACCTCTTTGGATATTTATATATATATACTTTAAATATATATATATATATATATATATATATATACACACACACACACACACACACACACACACACACGTTTGCAGCACCGTTAAAGGAACACTATAGTCACCTAAATTACTTAAGCTAAATAAAGATTTTTTAGTGTATAGATCATTCCTCTGCAATTTCACTGCTCAAATCACTGTCATTTAGGAGTTAAATCACTTTGTTTCTGTTTATACAGCCTTAGCCACACCTGCCCTGGCTATGACTGACAGAGCCTGCATTTAAAAAAAAAAACTGGTTTCACTTTCAAACAGATGTAATTTACCTTAAATAATTGTATCTCAATCTCTAAATTGAACTTTAATCACATACAGGAGTCTATTGCAGGGTCTAGCAAGCTATTAACCTAGCAGGGGATACGAAAATCTTAATTAAACAGAACTTGCAATAAAGTAAGCCTAAATAGGGCTCTCTTTACAGGAAGTGTTTATAGAAGGCTGTGCAAGTCACATGCAGGGAGGTGTGACTAGGGTTCATAAACAAAGGGATCTAACTCCTAAATGGCAGAGGATGGAGCAGTGAGCCTGCAGGGGCATGTTCTATACACCAAAACTTCTTCATTAAGCTAAAGTTGTTCAGGTGACTATAGTGTCCCTTTAAATCAACTTCCATCCATTACCTTTTTATCTCACACTCCCTAAACCTACTTGCACTATCAGAAACATGGTTCTCTCCCTCTGATACTGCTACCCCTGCCTCACTATCCTTTTGTGGCCTTCATTTTACACACAATCCAAGACAAGCAGAGAGTAAAGGTGATGATGTAGGTTTTCTCCTTTCACCCCACTGCTCCTTTAAAACTCTGCCCACCCCTCCTTCCCTCTCTTTCCCATCATTTGAAATTCATTCAATTCGCCTTTTCAAACCATTCTCTGCTAACATTGACGTTATCTATCGTCCCCCTGGTTCCCCTCTCCTATTCCTTGACCACTTTGCCTACTTCCTCTCTTCTAATATTCCATCCCTAATACTTGGAGACTTCAATATTCCCATTAACCTACCTTTGACCTCAGCAACCTCTA